CCCACGTACAGACTACAAAATTTGATCCTAAATTGCAGCATACAGACACAACCAGGCTCAATTGGGCTAAGTTAGCACGGGTTGACTGTGCATGCTCAGTTTAGCTTGTTACATCACTTAGCAGACAGCAATCACGGTTAAACAATGTTCTGTTGGTCTACCACCGATAGCATTTATTAGGATTTATACTGCATTATTGTAATAGCAAAAGAAGAAGAATATTAAGTGGCTATGGCTCCCTACCTGCCATGATGTCACTATGGCTTCCCACCTGCCGTGAACCTGTCAGGTGATTGAATAGGCAGCAGAAGCTGCAACCAGGGTATAATCAAATCTGGGTATCCGATCATATTTCAATTGAACCATTTTATCACCAATGTAAAGTGAAAAGTATGTGTATGAAAAAACACCAGGGAAGTGTAAACATGCACATTCCTATGTCTGTCTTCCTATACATTCTGGATAGATTCTTCTGGCCAAGTTATAAGTAGATTAATGAAGTGAAGATTAAAAACAAAATTGCAGACAATTTCACATGCTACCGTCCATTTATATACCCAAAATAAGGCTATGCGCATGCGTATATCAAAATTTAACCCACACCTGGTCCTGGATTGCATACAGACACAATTTAGCGCTAGCTAACTTAGTAAGGGATAACTTAATTAGCACGCTTTGAAGCGGGGCTGGCCCACCTCCATTCGTGGGGCTAATTTAGTCTGGACTAGCGCGTATTTAGCCCGGGATAGCATGTACACACTGCAAAAATTAGGGCGCCCCTGGGTCGGACTAGTTCGATGTAGGATCAAATGTACCTGTAGGGGGTATTAGTCCATGTTATCAAAAGGCCATTAACAATTTATGTTATGATCGGCTTTAGATGTCATCTCAAACCAAATCTATTTCCCTTCAGAAGACTGTTGGTTATAGAATTTATAGTTTGAACTGCACCCTGATTCCATTATGAAGCCGTTTAGAACATTGGCTTGGTTGACCTTGGTATTTCATCGTTGTTCAAAGTGCCAATAATTGTCTTGCCAACAAAGCTATTATTTTTGCTTTCTATTTTGAGCAGTAAGATTTAGTCAGCTATTCAGTGCTAATTAGAACTCCAAAACTCGGATCAAACTAGAAGTTCACTAACATATATGTTGTGTGTGCCTTCCTGTCTGTCTACTCCCGTTTTGTTCTTCATGACGCTCACCTGTCTTAGTGTCTACTGCCCTGTTACCCTGCTAGTCTGGTCCCTATTTCAGTAAGCAGTTTTATGCAAGGCCAACAAATGCTGCCAGTATTGAACTTTGCTGGAGTAGATGTTGCAGTGTACGGAAATCATGATTTTGGTAAGTCTACTTCTAGTACGTAATCACGGCAGCCAGGATCTGTCTAATGAGACTGCTTGCATCTCATTACATGGACTTGTGTATTTCGTCATGTATTTGACTCATGTTGTCTGCTGTAGATCACGGAGTGGATGAGCTGGTGGAGTTTACACAGGAGTGCCACTTCCCATGGCTTATGTCTAATGTGTTTGACAATGATACCAACAAACCACTGGCAGATGGTCTCCTCACTCACGTCGTGAAGTGGGCAGGGAAGAAGGTAGTGCTTTCCATCTTCCTCTGTCTCTCTCTCTCTCTCTCTCTCTCTCTCTCTCTCTCTCTCTCTCTCTCTCTCTCTCACTCTCTGTGTATGGCTGTG